TCTATCTATCTATCTATCTATCTATCTATCTATCTATCTATCTATCTATCTATCTATCTATCTATCTAGACAAATAGAAGATGTAATGAAAACGTTGCATTCCGAGAACTGGCAGAAAACATGCTTTTAAGCAAGGAGAATATGGACTTACAATCAGTCTTCTTGGTAACACCTCCTGAAGGCATTATGAAATCAAACTTTGAAGCAATAATTTGAATTCTTCTCTCTCTCTTCAAACATATATTCTGAAAATATGAAACAGACATATGAAAGCTCTGGTACCTTTGCAATTTTTAAGAAAAGTAATGAAGAAGACGCAATATATATTAGTTTCTGGGGCTGGCTGATAGATTATTTTCTATTCTTTCCTCCTGAGCTGTTGTTTTCCAGCAATACTTCATTTTCCAAAAAGCTATTTTTTACGGATTGTCCTGAAGTATTAACAGAAACAGCATTGTTTTGAGAACTATATTCCTATCCATCCCGGGGAACAGAACTTGCTAATGTTAATTATCCTTGCCTTGTTCCTTTCCATGCTTTTTTTTCTACCTGATTATTTTAAACCCCCTGTATCAAGATTTCTCTGGAACTTTCTCTTCAGTTCTGAAAAATAGACAGTTTTTTTGGCAGACAGTGCTTGATCTTGATTAAGACTTAGGTTTTAACATAATGGGAAAGTAAACCATCAGTCCTTTTAAATAATTCTTTTAGCATAAGTTTGCCCTCAAAATAGGCTCATCTTTGTCCTTTTAACTAGATTTCTGATAAAGGAAAATACTGTTCATATTTCAAAAGGAGTTTGTACACTGCATAATGCATGCGTTGGTCTATCGGTGTTCTTCAGCGTTTGCAGGAAATCGATATTTAAGGAGCTATATATATATGCGTGTGTGTGTATATATATGTATATATATTTGCAGGTGTGCGAAGAGTCACGGAGCCGTTCTGTGGATGGAATACCATCTGGCACCTAACATTTCCATCAGCACAGGACTTGTGCAGGATTCCAATGAAAAGGTTGGTTATGTTTTATTTCAACTCTGCCGCACAAGGAGTTGGGACAGCCGTCATATTAAATTGCTCTATAGAAAAGAAAAGACCATCAATTCTACTCGGTTCCAGTGAGTAATTTTGAGCACATTTGGAACGAATTCAATTGTAGTAGTTGGCGGAAATAACGCAGGAGACAGATTAATGGTGGTGAATCTGCCGTTGTAATTAAACAGTGTGTGTGTGATTGGAAGCTTCTGCAGAGCGTATTGTGCAGCGTGGTTAGGATGGACAGGCTTACTAAGGACCTACAACAGAGAACAGGATTTACTACAGATGTAGATTGGAGTTGATGGAACGTAAAGTTGAATTGGGACTCATTTCGATCGAGATGCTTGGAGGCTTCAGGAGCAGTTGTGGGGTTTAGAGTGAACTAAAAATACCTTTGTGTTGTAAAACATAGTAAGTTGCAAAACAATCATGACATTTAAAATATAATGCAAAGAAAAAAGCTGAATTAATACTATAGTAGACAAAAAAACCCGATAATATGAGTAGATTTTTAATTACAAATATAATTACAAATACAACCGGAATTTTGGTTGTAAGTCGTTGCAGTCAACAAGCTTTGTCATAATGTCTTCAACCTACAATCATTCATTTAGCCATCGTTCAATGAATGATAGCACTGAACAAACTCTTCTAGTCTGTTCAATTCTGTTCTATTTTATTCCATATTATCCTAATCCATATTTTCTTTTCTATCCTATTCTATTTTATTCTTTATTCCAATATTTATTCTGTTCTTTTCTGTTCTGTTCTATTCTTTATTCCAATATTCTAAGAAAAACGACATCTGTGGATGTTTGGCACCTTCACTTACTTTCCCACCTGATTGTTCTTGGTTCTTTTCTACACAGGATTATTGTCAATGGACTCCTCACTGCAAGCAGGCCGTCTATTTCTTCAACGCGGCTCTTGAACCAAATTCTCCTGTCAGTGCTGCCTCAGCAGTTGCATACGCTGTGAGCTTCAACCCAGCAACAGGGGAGGTTAACATGGACTTTAAACTTTTAGTTTAATATAGTAGCCCTTTTGGGGGGGGATATGAAAAACCATTTGTTTCCCTTTTAGCTTGATCAATAAATACATCCACAGACAGATTTAATAAATCAGCAGCTTTGTGAAGGGATGGGCTCCAGGGGTCAGTGGTGGGATTCAAATAATTCAACAACCGGTTCTCTGCCCTAAGGACCAGCTGGGTAGGCGTGGCTCGGTGGTCATTTGACTGAGTGGGCGTGGCCAACTCAACATCACTCAGATCGATGGCCACTTAGCTGTTACAATGGAATAAGGATTAACCGGAGAGGCAGTTTCTGTTAGGGCAGTAAAGATTAGGTTAGAAACAACACCAGAATGTTCCCTTCCTGCCTTCCTTACAGGATTTAGCCCTGTAAAGTGGAAAAACACAAAAGGAGATTTCTTCCAACAACCGGTTCTCCGAACTGCTTAGAAAGTTAACTGGTTCTCCCAAATAGGTACGAACTGGCTGAATCCCACCACTGCCAGGAGTATACTTAGTCTCAGGAAGTGAGCCACCATTGAGTTAGTCGACTCGAGCCCCTTCAGAGTTTTAGATTGAAACTTCCCAAACTCCTTTGCTCATCAACCGTTTAGTTTAAAGGTCAGTCAGAATTGATTTAAGGCATTCGACACACCAGTCTTGTTGGAAATGATCTCACTAGGCTCTGCCGGATGCCAGTGTAAGAGAAATCAGACCAACTAAGCCGCCCAATTTCAGAACCAGAGAGAAGGAAAAGATAGGCATACTCCATCAGACTTATGGGTTTATTTCATACATTTCAAGCACAACTTGGTGAAGACAATTATTTAACAACATTTAATTTGTCCCAAACCTGAAAGATTCTGGGTGGCAGAAAACAAATAGTGCATAGAGTCATAAATAGCAATAGCACTTAGACTTATACTATTTCACAGTGCTTTTACAGCCTTCTCTGAGCAGTTTACAGAGTCAGCCTCTTGCCCGCAACAATCTGGGTCCTCATTTTACCCACCTCGGAAGGATGGAAGGCTGAATCAACCTTGAGCCTGCTGAGATTCGAACTATTGGCAGTGGGTAGAATTAGCCTGCAATACTGCATTGTAATCATTGTGCAGAGGAAGGGAAGGCAAGGAGGGAGGGAGGAAGGAAAATAGCAATATCACTTAGACTTAAATACTGCTTCACAGTACTTTACAGCCCTATCTAAGTGGTCTACAGAGTCAGACTCTTTTCCCCGACAATCTAGGTCCTCATCTTACCCACCTCGGAAGGATAGAAGGCTGAGTCAACCTTGATCCTGGTGAGATTTGAATGCCTGGCTGTGGGCAGAGTTAGCATGCAGTACTGCGTTCTAATAGGAAGGAAGTAAAGGATGGGCAATAGCACTTAGACTTATATACTGCTTCACAGTATTTTATAGCCCTCTCTAAGCGGTTTACAGAGTCAGCCTCTTGCCCCCAACAATCTGGGTCCTCATTTTACCCACCTTGGAAGGATGGAAGGCAGAGTCATCCTTGAACCTGGTGAGATTCGAACTGCCAAATTGCAGGTAGCCGGCAGTCAGAAGTAGCCTGCATTACTGCATTCTAACCACTGTGCCCCCGAGGCTCATTTTCAAAAGAAGGTCTTTTTCAAAATTCCTGGGATGGTTTCTAAGAATCAATCAACCAAAGCTAAGATGTTGGAATCCTTCCCATTTTATTGTGTACCGAACACAAGGAAGATTGTGTTTGAATTGCCTCAAGGTGGAAGGTGTTACAAAGAGAGGGTGCCACTACTGAGAAGGTTTATCATCAGGCCTACACTCCATGTATCTCTTGAGGGAGAAAACTCTTCAACACCCACCCACCCCTCTGGCAATCAGGAATGGAAAGCTGGACTGAAGGTTGCTACTCATCACAAAACATCCATTTATTAGAAGGCAAACTTGGGATATGGTTCACCATCCTTGTTTATTAGCAATAGCACTCAGAACCGAAGAAGCTTCATGGATGTGAAGCGAAACGTCTTCAAGGAAAAACAAAGAGGATCCAAAAGTCGCTTTGGGACAATAGACTTATATACCGCTTCACAGTGCTTTTACATCCCTCTCTAGACAGTTTACAAAATCAGCCAACAATCTGGGTCCTCATTTTACCAACTTGCGGAAGAATGAGAGGCTGAGTCAGCCGGTCAGGATCAAACTCCAGGCTGTGGACAGAGTTAGCCTGCAATGCTGCATCCCAACCACTGTGCTACCAGGACTAGTAGATTTTTTTAAAGCTCAGCAGAATGTTTGAAAGAAATTACATAAAGGGGCTTAGGGCTCTTATCTGTCTGTCTTTTCACATAATCAGATATGAATAACTCTCCAAAATCTGAAAGGGATGAAATCTGACCCAGTGAGAATAGCCAGCAAAAGAAAAATTGAATTGATTCAGAAAAAAGAGAGAGAAGTCAACTACCAATGGGACCTAGGTTCATATCTGCTCCATTCCAGGTTTGTGAGCCTTTTTGTGATAGGAATTATAGCTCTCTCCCAATAGTTCAATATGTGTTGTGGCCCGCCAGCGGATCTGGCAGCAGATTTGGAGAGTGAGGAGGTTGGGGAGGAACATGGGCCAGTCCTGGAGTCTGGGGAAGGCTCTGATGAGGGCTCGATGTCAGAGGCAGAGAGGGGGACAGAGCCATCTGGCAGTTATCAGCTGCCTTTGGAGTTGGATATCAGTAAGGCAGAAGAACAGCTGGAGCCTGTTCCCAGTATGCACATGCACAGAACTGCCAGAACGAAGGGAAGAGCTAAAGAACACAGGAGGGGAGTTTGCAGGAGACAATGAGTTCAATTCATTAGGGTGAAGATCTGTTCCTGACTTCTTGCCAAGTAATTGCCGTTACAGCATGGCATTTGGAAGATATCGGCCTGGCAGCTCTCCAAGCTTGATAAAGGTCTGTAGCTGTGAAATCTCTTGAAAGACTGTTGGCCTGGACTTTGCTGGAGAGGAATTCCCTTGAAACTAAATAAAAGGGGTTTTATCTGGATGAGGAATCTGCTTCATGCTTTTGGGAAGCCTAGGTCAGAACAATATGCTTCTTATCCCAAAAGGCTTACCCGTCCCTAATAAAGAAAGAATCCTTTTCTACCCTTCCAGTATTGGTTTACAAAGTGTATGTCAATACAGCATCTGGCAAACATCCTGCTTTTGCCTTCACACAGCCCCAAACTATGTCCTTAGTATGTTCAGGGGACATGGACGCATGTTACAAAGAAGTGAAGACTCCCTGCAAGCAGAGAGATTGGGATGGTTGAAACGCAATAGGAGACCAAGGAATGCAAAACTTCCTTGGAGGTTCCTCTTGCAGAAAGAGATAATATAGGATGATAGGTTATTTTCCCCAAGATGCCTGAGAAATCATTAGCTAGGCTGGGACTGGAACCATACATGACAGCAGCTAAGAGACGAGAGTGTTGAGCTGGAAAATCCACAAGGGGGTACTGAAGTTTTTTTTCCCCTCCTTGGCATTTCAGCAATTTTGTAATCAGCTGGCTAAGAAATGCCCAAGAGGCAGTTTGGGGCAACTTTCTGCATAGAAACACAAGCATGTCATTTTGCCCCGTCTGCTAAGAACGAATGCATTTTCTGAGCATCTTCCTGCATCCCCACCGTGCATTGCCAAATTACAGGATCACCAGATTTTGGCAGAACACATTATTAGTTTAAGCATGCAGGTAGTCCTCGACTTGTGACCTCAATTGAGCCCAAAATGTCTGTTGCTAAGAGAGATTCGTTAATTGAATTTTGCCCTATTTTACGACCTTCCTTGCCCCAGTTGTTAAGCAAATCATTGCAGTTGTTAAGTTAGTGGTGCAGTTGTTAAGTGGATCTGGCTTCTCCACTGACTGCTTGTCAGAAGGTTGCAAAAAAGGATCACGTCACCCTGGGACACAGCAACCGTCATAAATACGAACCTGTTGCCAAGTGTCATAGGGATGCTACAAGTGTGGAATATGGTCATCAGCCACTTTTTCAGTACTGTTGTAACTTTGAATGGTCACTAAATGAATGTAAGAGGAGGACTACCTGTAATTGATGCCTACAGCTGGGGAAACCTGAACAATTCTTTAGTGATTTTTAGATATTTTACTTGTTATAGGTCCCATCTTGAATAGAATAGAATAGAATACAGTAGAATACAATAGAAATGAAAATATAGAATAGAATAGAATAGAATAGGAATAGGGAATAATAGAAAAAATATGGAATAGAATAGAATACAGTAGAATACAATAGAAATGAAAATATGGAATGGAACAGAATGCAATAGAATAGAAGAATAGAATAGGAATAGAAAACAATAGAAAAATATGGAATAGAATAGCAGAGGGAATAGGATTAGAAATAGAATAGAAAACAATAGAAAAATATGGAGTAGAATAGAACAGAATAGAATAGAAAACAAAAGAAAATATAGAATAGAATAGAATTCTTTGTTGCCCCAGTGTGTCTTTAATGCATAAAATAATAACTTGGCAATTTATGAAGTTTGAACAGGCAGACTTTCGAAAAATGCAGCTGTCTGCATTGATCATCACTTCCAAAAGTTACTAACGCCTTGGTCAATTCAATATGTTCAAACTGCAAGTGTCAAAATCAGTGCATTTCTGTGTGAGCTTTTATTGAATGACATACATTTGGTCATTGTTTGAGGATGATTGGATCGCTGCTGGCAAGCCGGCATTTGTGCAGCTGGGGGCGGGGGGGGGGACATCTACCGGACGAAGATAGAAGCCAATAATCCCATAGCAGAGAAACGTGATGAAATGACCTCACAAAACCCAAAGCAACATTAAAATTGCATACATCTATGTAAATTTCTACAGTACCACATTTTTTGGTTTCAGACCAAAAGGAAGGTTTGAAATGGAGGTTATGGAAATCTTCAATATCTCAAAAGTTCAAAGCTGGTGCTCTTTTGACTTCCAGACAGTTTTGGGGGTCATCTTCCCAGCATGCCAAATCCTTAAGTGTTTGTGGAGAGCTGTGGACAGTGACAACTCGGCTTTGAAACGGGGATGAGCACCACCCCCTAGAGTCGGGAACGACTAGCAGATATGTGCGAG